TGACCGTTATCTCATATGATTATCATAATAATACTTAAATAAGCAAAACACGATAACCATAATACTTTCTAAAATAGGAAAAAATATAGCACACCAAAAAGTTAAACGGTACCATCCCTCTACACATTTCATGTTACACATTCATGTGATCGTACTGGTATAACAGATACCTTTAGACCGGAATCACCAGTTTAACAGATCAATTACAAAGTATGGAATTTTTAATATATAGTTTAAACCGTTATAACGGATTTAATAGTAAAAAAGCCATATTACGTATAACGGAAATCTTTGCCAGCCCATATACCAATTTTAAAATAAAATTCTAACCTATATTACGGATTCAATATAATGCAACAACTTACGACCAATCAGAGTGCAAAAAAAAAGCTTAAAAAAATTTTTTTTTTTAACTATAGCTACATATCATTATAACGGAATCCGGCCTAACTCTGTTATTAATTCCGTTATATAGGTTATATAGGTATAACGGATATGCTATATAACGGAATTTTTTGGCCAGCCCAGATTTCCGTTATATCGATAGTTGACAGTATATTTTACCGTTTACTATAATATGGCAGTCAAATTTGTTTTTTCAATATTTGCCATAACTGGTAACCGTTTCTATTTAAAAAATAATAAAATTAAAAAAAAAATTGTAAACCAAATTCACCCAAAAACAGTGAAAAAAAAATTTTGAAGACTTTCCGGAGGGTCTTAGGTCGGAAAATCATGTGACTGCCCTCGATTATTGGTTATGCTGATGCTTTTGTTTTTTTGGACTTCTGTCTTGATTGATAACGCATCTAACCCATCCTTCCCACGTTCTAAGCCATCCTCCCCACTTTTGACGTATCTTAATAGACATAGAATTTTATTATAATGACACCTTCACCCGGGATAGTAGTTATTTCGGTCAAAAATCATTATTGTTTACTTAGTGGTCAAAATTTTCAAATTGTGGGGTATTTCATAAATTCGCGTAATGCTTATATAATATGTAAACTACAGTAATTTTTATATAAATTTTATTTACATAAATATAAAATCTATGTAAATTTCATTTATATCTATATAAAAATAATTTAATTTACTTCAGTTATTTTCAAAAGTGACTAAGGTAATCACCGATCGATGCACTAGTAAAAATGTTCAGCATGCTCGAAAATCTTCCCCAAACCCTAATTTAAACTTTTTTTTTGCCATTTTACATAATTATACATAGAAATATATGTAGATTTATATAAATTAATTTGTGGAATTGCGAGGATTATAATATTGATAAAGCCGTAATAATTATTATTCATATAGTCAAAAAAAAAATAAATTAATACTGATACTTCGCAAGATCAAATTACTAATCATCAACCTATGTCATAATTGATTCGGCGAAAGAATAATGAAGGTATTCGGATAACTTTACAAATTGAAAATTTAAATGTTATTTAAAAGTCTCAAGTTTTTATATCAAGTTTGATATATATTAACTTTTGATAAAATTTACTGTAATTAATAGCATGATTATAAGTCTTCAAATCTAATCAAGCTTATATAGCTATATTGATTATCCACTATGCTAAAGGAATACCTTGAACGTAGCCAAATACATTATTAGGATCATATATTTTTTTCACAGCAATTAATGCAGGTAAATTACTTCCATAATATCTGTGTAGCCAATCTGTTAAATCTCGATCAATATAATTCTGATAACAACTATAATCAGTGTAGTTCGACTGAAAAGTTTCACCAAATCTATTTACTTGATTAAAACATTGTGTGTTCGTCGTATTATCACCCAAAAAATATATAACTAATTCAATTAAATAAAACACATCCCTATGTACAAATGCAGTAGCGTTTGCCGCAACTCTTGTTGCCGCACTACCTGCATATAAATCTAATGCTACAAGTGCTTTACATGTAATTGGAAGACCTTTCATAAAAGATACGAGTGATTTAACTCCCTTTGCTGAAAGTCCTGGTGATTTTACATAGAATGACTTTACTTTAAAGTTATTAGGTATATGTACTGGATTTATTGTGCCATTTAATTGTCTATATCCCCACCTTACAACGCTATCAAAAAAAGTTTCTTCTGTAAATTGATTCGAAGTTGGTTGTGATAGTGAAATAAATTGTTTCATAACTTGCATTGCATTCGCTTGTGATCCTAAATAAAGACATTGAAGTTCTATACCAAAGATACCTATAATTATTGTGATTGATACATCATCAGGAAGCGTCGGTCCAAGTTTGTTAATTGCATCAAAAAAAGTTTGAATCTTGTTAATATCATATCTTAATAATATAGATGTGACTTTAGGAGGAATAGGATAAATTTGAAATGTAAACGAAGTAACTATTCCATAGTTATTAGCCCCAGCTCCACGGAGGGCAAAAAATAAATCTGAATACTCATCGGCAGTTACAGTGATCAGACGTCCGGTAGCATCAACGAGGTCCATAGAAAGAATGCTATCTAACACGAGTCCGTATTTTCTTCCAATTAGTCCATATCCCTACAATTTTCATTAATTATGTAAAAACATAACGCATTTTTCAATGTAAACTAGTCCGATCAGAAAAAATTCTTGGTCTCGTGACATCATATTGTACGACAGACTTGGTTATTGAATACGTAGCTCTGAAATCACAAGATCGAGGATTTTTTTGACAATACCAGCTTGTCAATTTTTAATAGATAATATAAGAATGATTACTTACACCACCTAATGCGTGACCACCTATTCCAACAGTTGGGCAACTTCCGGCTGGAATTAAGAAACCAGCTTGGCTCAAAGCATAATGAATAGGACCTAATCTATTCCCGGCACCAATAACTGCAGTTTTTGCTGTTGAATCTATGTCAATTTGGTTCAAATTCGTAATATCTACGACTATTGCACCCGCACTACTATATTTTTCATAGGAATGTCCTCCTGATCTAACCGAAATGCTCATATTAAGCGTGCTTGCACAACGCACGGAAGACTGAACGTCTGCCACTATTTCAGCATATATGATTACAGATGGGGTAAACATTACACGAGTATTTTCATCAATTATGTCACTATTATATTCTGGATCACTTGGATATACTTTTTTGCCTCGCACATCAACAAGACATGATGCAAGATCACGCTTTATGAGTTTGATAGCCGACGAAACTCTACAAACCATTATTAGGTAGAATAAAATATAAACGATTAAACCCATTTTTTTATATGTTAATGTCATAATAATTGTCGGATTAAATTTCTTGTTAAGGTAGTTTTGAATGACAAAAATTAGGAAAGTCGTTTATATATACTTTGAAAATAACTTTACTGCGTATTTCAAAATATGTAATAAAATATTGTCTGTTTTTATATAAAGTTACGCTACATTGGCGGGGAAATGTCCACATACTTTACATAGGGCTGTTAAAAGTCCTATCCTATCCGTCCGGACTCCTAAAATAGGGACTTTGATCAGGACTCGATCCTTGAGTCGATCCTTGATTCAAGTTTGCAGTATCCAATTATGTATGAATCAACGTAAATTAGCCAATCAAAATGAATTGTCTGAAGTCGATCCGAGTCGGTCCCAAAAAGTCCCTGTATAGTCGACTCACCTGTGACAGGATTTCGTCCAATCAGGGATGAGATTCACCTGCGACCAATGGAAAAGGGGATGAAAAATTAGCAACGCCAAAAAATTTAACTTTTTTGTCTTATTAATTTGAGTGTGGTTCGAAATCATGAATTTCTGGCATGGGTAAGTTGCCTTAGCCAATTTACTAACGTGTGCCGTCAAACAATTATTTTTAATGTTTTTTTTAACTATTTGTGTACTTAGTAAAAAAAACCAAAAAAATCATCGTGCAAGAACAAACCCACGTCCCTTATTCCTTTCTCCTCCTTTTATTGATGCTTCTTTGGTAGATGGAAGTTTTAAAAAAATTGTTGTTTTACCAAAATATGTAGATGAAGATGAGTGGCTTGCTGTAAATGGTATGTATTGCATTGTGGCAGATTAATTTTTCTATTATTTTCATTACTATTTATTTAATATTTTTCAGTCTTTGAGTTTTTTAATTACCTCAACATGTTCTATGGAACGGTTACTGACTTCTGTACACCCACCAATTGCCCTACTATGAGTGCTGGTCCAAAGTAAGTGCATACTTTTACGTTTTTCGTTACCGCAATAATAAGATTCATAGTTATTTATTGATACATCTTAGTTTTGAGCCTTATATCTGTACAGATCAAAATCAAAAGAAAAGTACAAAATTACCTGCTCCTACATATATAGATTATGTGATGACCTGGGTTCAAAATCTAGTTAATGATGAAAATGTTTTTCCTACGAAAGCAGGTGTGTATCATATTTAATAATAAACTGGTTATGTCTTGATTTTTTTCATTGATTATAAATCTATATATCTTTTATTATTATTATTAGGCCGAGAATTCCCAAAAAATTTTGCACAAATAGTTAGATCAATATTCAAGGAATGTTTCAGAGTCTTTGCACATATTTATTATCAACATTACGAACAAATTTTACATCTTCGTGAAGAAAAGCAATTTAATTCATTATTTGCCCATTTTATTTCATTTGCTAAGGAATTTAATTTATTGCCCGATAAGAAAGAAATAGCTCCTTTGGAGGAATTAATCACTTATATGGAAAATAATGGTAGAATTAGCTAAGCCTTCTCATATGTGGCTTTTTTTTAGATTTTATTGATGTATCTGACAGTCATACTTGCCAAATTATATAGATGTTATAAAGATATAAAAATTAATGGGTAGAAGGGATATTTAATCTACAAATAAAGATTGTCTAATATAAATATCTTAGAAACCTACGTAGCAATGATCGGCTTTATGAAAGGCGTTCAATACTAGATTGAAAATTTTCTTTTTATATTAATAATAATATTGTACATAACGTCTATAGTTATTTTCGTCTGAGTAACGTCTTGTACATACGTTAAGAATGGTAAAGTTCTCAGGTTCAGGGCTTTAGGAATTAGTCTTGGAACCTAGTTTACAAAACTAAGTTCTAAAATTAGGTTTATAAGGCCTATCACATGATTAATTTTTTCATAGAACTGATATTACTGATTAGAACCGACTATGTATAAATCGGGTCAACCGGTTGGGCGGGTAACCCGGTTTAAATTTTAATAACCAAGTATTTAATTGGAAATCATCAGTGATCGCGCTAAACAAGTGATTTTTCTTTTTATAATTTTTAAGGGGTGATACAGAATTTTGCAAAATAAAATGTGCATGATTTTTTTTTTTTTTTGATTCGTTAATTTACAGAGGCCCATGAGTTTAACACTCACACTAACCATGGGATTACCCACCGGTCATATCGATATTGGCTAGTTTTTGGAATTGTACTAAAATAGATATAATTTGAAATCTTGGATAACTTATGATCTACTGGTTTGTTTTAATAAAACAACTACCAAAACACTGTATATATTCGTCTCATCAAGGCGATTCTAACGAGCCTAAAATTATCAAAACCTAATTACTGCAGAAAATGATATATTTATAAGAGTGTAACCGCCGGTGATATCACCGGTGTTGTAATTAGCCAATAATGATAAAACAAAATAAAACTTTATTTCCTCTACTTTAGGGTTAGGACGAGGCCTGGGATTTTAGAAGGTGTTAAATATATGCAAAATTTAGTAAGGAATTTTTTTTGCTAAAATGTCGAAGGTAGTTTCATAGACGAATTCTTGAGATATCGGCATTTTTTGAAAAAAAATCTTTATTTTTGTTACACAAACTAATTTGCACGTTACACCTGATCCAGCAAATTTATTGGCTAATTACAACACCGGTAATATTACCGCCGGTTATAGTTAGCAAAATTCTATTTATAATGTAGAACAATTGGTTAGATTATATTTAACTGATTGTTTCACATTATGGATACATTATTTCTGTAAAAAACCTTAGCAATCTTATAATCCAATAATTGGATTTTGATAATTTTGGGTATATTAGAATTGTCTTGATAAAACAACTATTTGATAATTGTTTTAGCAAGATCAGAATGTGTGACAGTTTATGCTAATTGATTATCATCACCAATATTAAATTGATTTTAATCGTTAGAGTCAGATTGGAAGGAGTTAGAAAGAAAATTTAGCTAAAACTTAAACAAGAATTATGAGTAGAATTTTTTTTTTTAGAGTATCAAAAGCAGGTTCATAGCCAAAATTTTGAGATAGAAAAATTTTTTTTTTAATTTTGTTGATCAACCTGTCATATATTCTGGACTTGCATTGTTTTATTATTAAATATGGATTAATAAATTAAAAGTTTTTTTTTTTTTTTTGGTTTTAAGGTAACCTCTTGGTTGCTATCTTTTTATTCGATTATTGTTAACTTTTACAATATGGTATACACCATACTGTACACATATTTGGAGAGTACAACTAGCCACATTTGCAACTTTTAGTTGCCTATTTAAGTAGACCTCTATTACTAAGTCTTATACTAGCTGCCATATCTATAACCCTACCGAGTTATCTATTTAAATCCTCTGTGCTTATGTATATTAATCTTCTAATCGAGCAAGAATATATTAGTACTCCCTTATTTTTGAATCCCGACTTAGGAATTTAAGACAGACCCACCTATAGGGGTTCTTTGTCCTCGAAGTAAACCTGCTAGAGCTTTCCGTATCTACAATCCGGCTAATCTAGACTTCAGTAACTTATGCCAAGTTCAAGGACAAATATTTGCAAGCTGAAGCCACTACCATTACTACTTCTGCCCTTGTAGAGTTCACCCAAACCCAGCATACACTTTACGGATTAATACTGACTTTCCTCCCAATTCAGATAGCCTGGAGAGGAACCAGTGGGCATCCTCTTGGTATTCTGATTGAATCCTTTTTCCTTATCTATACGGGGCCATTTCTGTATATTTGCGGCCTGGTTGGTATTAGTGTTTTACCAAACACCCGGTCCTTATTCAGTTTGCTGCTAGTGTCCGATTACCAATGATCATTCTTTACGTAGTACCGTCAAAGATTTGTGCTACCTCTCTACTCAGGACTTGCCAAGCAGGATCCTATGTACCCCAGCCCTTAGATTTATGCAAATGTTTCACTTGGGTTTCATATAACTTTTGCATCACACTATAGTTTCATATTCTTCTAGTACAAGCTGATATGACCAAAGCTACAGATTTAATGATTCATCAAATTACATACAGTCTGCCGTAACATTCCTTAAATTTGAATTTCGTCACTAGTGGAATTCGAACTCTTGTCCTGCCGTTTGAGAGTGTGACAACTTACCAACTACACTAAGTCATTACACCCTTAAATTAAAAGTTATTCAAAATTTAAAAATATATATATATATAGAGATTTAATTTATAGTGCTATAGCACTATAGTGCTAGGGTATTATAACCAATTAAAATTTAAAATTAGATATAATATGCAGATCATCTTTTTATATAACAAAAACAAATTTTTAAAAAATTAGTTATATCTCAAAATTTTACTTAAAAAACCATCTTTTGTGCTCTAATAAAAAAATTTCTTGCAAAATTTTAGTATAATCTATATCTTGCCTAACTTTAACTTCTACTTTAAATTAAACTAATTAAAAGTTTTATTTTTTTGTAAAGATTGTTTTGATTTATATGTTATACCAATTTTATATTTACATATAAAATAGCACTATGTCACTATAGCACTATAATAATATTCCTATATATATATATATATATATTTATTAATATAATGCCATAATAGAAACTTTATTACAAATAGAAAAATTATTCTAAACCTAAAGATTTCTAATTACATTTGTATTATATAAGGTATTCAATATGATATTATATCTTCTATTTCCTATAAAATGCTATAGTTAATTATTTCAAACTAATTTCTAGCTAGAATAGGTTGAAGAAGATCTAAGGTAATAGTCATAGCATTAAGTAAAGTATACAATTAAAGCATATCTTTGTAAGAGTTATTTATTAATAAAGAGATTAATATCTAAAGGTTGTATTATAATTAAAGAATTGTTTGAAGAAGTAAATATATTCAGAAAATAGGACTTTGTATATTTAGCTTTAGCAGTGATATTTCAAAAAAGTTTCCATTGATGTTGATAGATATTACGAATAGATAACAGTTCTTGACAGT